GCATAAAATCAAATGAACTGAGTTATGTCCATCGTTTGGCGAGTAACATTGACACCATAAGAGTTTCACTACATTTGTAGTCATTGCTGAGATAGTTTACACATATGTTAGTCCGTACTGGAAAATGACCTTACAATGTGACTGGTCAAAGCTAATTGAAATAATTAGTCTGTTTACTACAATTGTGGTGTGTGCTACTTATACGAGCGATATAAGTAGTATAAGAAGGGACGTGAAAGAAGAAGTTTCACGGTCGGAAGAGGAAAACGGAAAGCAAATGGAGCAAAAGCAAGAAGTGAATGGAGTACCAACAGGAAGGGAAGGAAGCACCAACAGGAATGGAAGAAGGATGGAGTGTTGGAAGTCACGACTCAAAGATGGTGTGCAAATAGAGTGTTCAATGTAATGTTTTCGTTTTGTTGGGCAATTCCTCTTCCAATGCCCGGTTCCTCCGCAAATATAGCATTTATTATTTCTTCCACCCTTTATTCGTAACGCTGCCACCTCGCGTTGTAACTCTTCTATCTTCTTCGCGACATCATCAGCCTGTCTTTCACACGCCGCCGAGGCGACTGTTGGGTTCGTCAGCTGTCTCGTTACTTTTGCCAGCTCGTTGACTTCCATTGATTGTGCGGCGTTTACCAGTCTCAACTGTTGGTTAACCTCTGCAGGCACACTTTCAATGAATTGCGACGCTAGCAGCTGTGCTTGTGACTCCTCATCCAAATTCGGCAGACCCCAACACCACCTTCGCCCTCTACTCCTTGACTACTACCAGCTCCGCCACGGCCTCGAACTCCATCAAGAAGCTCCTTACATCTCCGTCTTCAAACTCCCGAGGTCATGGGGTCTTCATCCTGTGTAGAGGCAGCGACACCAATTGAGAAGTCTGAGGCAGGTGAGGAAGATTTGTTTTGTGCAAATTTACACTCTGAGTCAATTAAAAACGAAAACATTACATTGAACACTCTATTTGCACACCATCTTTGAGTCGTGACTTCCAACACTCCATCCTTCTTCCATTCCTGTTGCTGCTTCCTTTCCTTCCTGTCGGTACTCCATTCACTTCTTGCGTTTGCTCCATTTGCTTTCCGTTTTCCTCTTCTGACCGTGAGACTTCTTCTTTCACGTCCCTTCTTATACTACTTATATCGTTCGTATAAGTAGCACACACCACACTATTATAGTAATTTTTGTAGTGATATATATATATATATATATATATATATATATATATATGTATAATAATCAAAGCTTACCTCTGATTTTTTATGATTAAAACAATGCTGATTGTCATATTCATTGATAATCATGTTATTGAAAATTATTTGTTTAAATAATTCAATTTCATTTATATGATTTGGATTTTGTAATTCATATGTAGATAATTTAGAATATTGAAGTAGATTAAAATATATAGACATTTTAATTTGAATTATTAATCCTACAGGATTATTCCATATGTTTAAAGAATTAAAAAAGAAGTTGACTATTATGTGTATAATGCGCTGGCTTGTTTCCTTGTAGAAAAGTTGAGATAATAAGAAAAAGACATCACAAAATTATAAATGAAGTGTTCAAATTCTAAGTAATTTAGTGTTACAACTTATTCAGTATTGAAAATTCGAAACCAATTCTATTTCTGATGATAGTTATTGAGATATCAACTCACGGCAATTGTCACACTGTTGGGGATGTTAGATCCCCAAAATTCGCATGATAATGCCGTATTTTGGTTTTTACGTTTCGCCAGCAGGGGCTGATCAAATGACCTTGAGATTTCAATCCCCACCAGGAAAATCAATGGCTGTGATTGGCTACAGTGTATTTTAGTATGCTATTTTCTTAACTGTCTCAAGGACGTTGTTATGTTGTATAAATAAACGAGAGTTGTATGCTTGATTGTACTGGGATTGCTGGGTGTTTGTAGAATATACTTTCTACGCCTACAAGTCTTCTATTTCGATTCTGGGATTCAAGGTAGCCTTCCTGGAAGCTGGTAAAAGTATCGTTCGCGTTTATCGACTAAGGTAAACTCGTAATAGCATCAAGCATACTACTAAGTGCCGAACATATCACACACCTGAGCATTTAATTAATGGAAATGATAAATAGATAATTATAATTTTTTTTAATAAACTTGTGTCAATTGATTTCAGTTATTTATTTATTTGTTCTAAAAGAGATGACTTTCATGAAGTCACGAAACGTCAGAAATATAACTCCCACTAGTTGGGATATCACAAAATAATTATAATTTTTTTATTATGAAGCTGTTACACGTTAGAGGATTTATGCTCTCTTAATCGTATGCTCCAAAAAAAGAAGCGAGCTAATAGAATACCATCTCTGGGTTAGGAACGAAAAAAAATAATGAGAGCGCTAAGTAGACGAAATTAACTGTCAGACACTTAAGAATAAATTCTTATAACTTTCCTTTTTTAGTGTTTGATTTGATAGGGTTATTCAGAAAGACAACTGAGCTATTCAAGTCCGATATCATAGATTCTCCGACAAGTCAGTTCTTACAAAAACACTGATCAGATAATATCGATCAACTTTTCTTCATAGAAAAGTAAAGATGAGGTGATTACAGACAGAATAAAGTCAAACATTGTGTCACGCTAGGAGTTTACGCACTTACATTTCAAAAGAACGTAAAGCGGTAAACGATCAATAAAAATTGAGAAAGTGGTTTTTTGAAAAAAAACAAAACAAGAAAACATCTTAGTTATCTACCTGTATCTCATGTTCATTACCAAAATATAAATGAGAAGACAAGCTAACTTCTTTGTTATCTTCCAACGAAGGAGAATATAAGCTTGAATACTTTGAAGTGATATATTTACATAATCGTCCACATGGCCAACGAAAGGAAATACCATCCTCACTTTGAATATCATCCAAACTACTGATTAACAAAGATATTTTACGAGTAAAATTTGTAATATATCCGATTGTATTATTTTGACATGCAAACATACTAAGTTGATTGTCTAAATGTTCTCGTTGCAATTGTATTTCTTTTAAACGCATAAGGTTACCTGATAACCTTGAAAAGATTTTAACTAATTCAATATGTCGTTTAGTTAAATTCAAACAATCCACACTGAATTTGATTGACTTGGTATTGGTATCAATATCGAATAGCTTTAATTCTCTCAATTCACCTGATATATTGAACAGTTGAATCTATAAATTAAAGAAAAGTTATCAAATGTTAAAGCAAAATCTGTAATTATTTCATGGATCAGAATACGTTTCTTGACCAAGCATTAGTTTTTCTTGGAACAGTAAGCCATATTTGTTGTTAACTCCTACAAGTTCACAACGAGTTTACCTATTTCATTAGGAAAGGTAATTTCAGGAGTTTCAGTGAGAAACCGTGATTAATGAAGCGCAACTATGTTGAATATCAGGCAAATACCAACTAATGGGAGAGGATAACAGTGTCAGAATTCATTAAGTCAAAAATGTAAAGTGCTAATTACAAGAGCTTTAAGTTCTAGAATCGATCCGTGTTAGGGTAGCATATATGCTTTACTGAAGTCCCAGACTATGACGGAGCAGCAGCTCAGCTCTTACTGATTTCCTAATTGGGGGTTAGTGCGTGATGCAAAACATTTATGAGTTGAAATCGGTCAGAGAAACATTGAAAACCAGAAAGCATTGAACCACATGTTTAAAACTCTAAAATTAATAACACAGGTGAAGTAGTTAAGGATTAAAACGATGAATTCAGATTTCATTTAGACCACTACATTGTTACCCAGCCGTCCGAATTTCTCTCAGCTTGTCGGGAATGAAGAACTTTTCTAACCCCTATAAACCAAAGAACCATGAAATAAACGTGTACTAAGTAATGACTTCCCCTGTGAATCATCTTAAGAATTTTACTACAAAGTTAATGGAGTCCATCCATGTTAGAAATGTAGCAGTTATCAACGATTACTTTGAATAACGTTTGAGATTGAATTCTTCTTTACTACGGTTCTCCAAACAATGTTAGTTTGAGAACTAGAGAAGTTTGTTATGTCCAAATCTATGTAGTGATCAAATCACAGGACAGAAACTAGTGAACAATTATCTAGGAACTTTATTAGTTGAGTTCGCATTGTTATGGAACACGTACAAGGTAAATTAAAGTAATATCAGTGAGCCTATAAATAAGGACAGAACCACAGAGTCAGAAAACCACATGGAGTTTGACTAATTTGCATATCTCTTAATGTTTACGACTAAAAAACTTAGTAGACCAGTGAACAGACTAAATATAAATCATTGAAAACTAACTTGAGTATTCTCCCACTTACTTTATCTTTGCAAATATTTTCAAAAGTTTCAATTTCAGCAGTTCGAGCTTCATGAAGTAATTTAAGAACTTTACAGTTAGGTAAGAGATTTAACAAACAACCTGTTAATGCACTGCCACATTCCAGATGAGATAAACCTAAATCAATCGATATAAAGTCGACGATGCGGGAAAATTTCTGTCGACATTTACGACCTAGATGATTGATTGAAATACTGGAAGAGAGAGAGATAGAGTACAAAGAACACTTGAGGATTATTAGAAGCTTGGCACTCAAGTCATTCAGCCATCAATTAACACATCGACATTTACCCAATTTATAAACAAATCAGAAGAATCATAGACAATTATGGGATCAAGAAACACTGATCAAAGTGAGATAAAATCAAAACAAAGGTGTAAACAACGACAGGTTTAATGTCAACAGCAATCGATCAAGATCGAGGTCAACAGGACAAGCTAAGAGTCATACATGGGGGAATTTGAATACTTCACTCCTCTACCTGATGTATATGTTGATGATGTGGTTCAGAAGAACAATGAAAGCTTCACAACCAAAACATCCAGCTCAGAGAACAAAACTCAATCACAATGATAACGATAATAATCATTTATGTCAGCTTATATTTTAGAATCCGTCGGCATCGTTTTCAAACATTGAATATTTCTAATCCATAAACTTGAATGAGTAAAAAATCAGATAATTAACTATCAAGTCAATTAATATTTGTGTAATTGATAAATTCATTTTAAAATTATATTTTTGAAATTTTCTTTGAAATCTTTGACATTTATTCCATTCACGTGTTATGTGTAAGATCATATTTATCATAATGTAATTCAATAATTAGCCAATATACAAGAAACAATTTTCTGATTGAATAACATGCATAACATGATTCAGTTGTTTAACTCAGGTGATTTGTGTTGTTTTTATTCAGTGATTAATCAAGGTGTTTATATATTCATCACTTCCAATCATTCTTTTTTCCATTTGTTTCGTGACAGAGTATTGCATTGTCAATTTTTAATTGGTGATTGGATTCCAGGTTTTTATTTAAAAATCTCGTGTAATTGTAGGGAAATAAATTTGTAAGCGACTACGCTTACCAGTCAATACAATTGAGTTCTTATTATCAGACTGATATGATGAGCAAACATGATATTTAAGACCTTATTTAATGGAGAATAAGTGAGCTGAAAGATAAACTGTGTTCAATTGCTTATAAAAACTGGTTACTGTATCTTTCTGTTAATAATTTATATTGATGATAGGGATTTGTGGAGAGTGTAGGATTTTCATAGTTTACATCGCGAACTGATATAAGCTAGACTACCTTTAGAAACCTGGAAGCACTGGATGGCCGGTTCGTTCTATTATAGAACGCCTCAGCAGTGAGTACTCAAGGCTTCCGCAAGGGGGATGCCAATTCAGTGGTCTAAAGACTAAGCGGGTTCAATACCCGCGCCCGCGGTCGTAGATGCGGATTTTGAAGGAGTCCCATTGTAGAACGAAACAGCCGTTCAGTACTTCCAAGTTTCTAATGGTTGTCTAGTTTATATCAGTTCGTGATTTCAACTAATAAAATAAGAATTTTAAAGTTTTATTTCGTTAGACCAATACATATTCTTCTGGCTAGGGGTCTTGTTTTTGAATTAAAGTCATTTGTGGGCTTAAGTCATTAATTCGTTCTCATGAGTATCTATCTGTCTTTTGGTAGTGTATTCTTTTGATTTATTTTGACAATCGAAAATTTATTTATCAAACTATCAAAATACTATTTCATAAAATAGTCATAATTTTTATTTGTCACACTACATTATTTTAGATATCAAAATGTTTACAATGCCACCATCGTCTAACCCAGTAAACGTACACTTACTCATTATTTATGTATGTTAACTAGTACAATTTAATCTTCACTACTGACAGTGAAATTCAAGATCACCGTCTACAAACAAGCCACTGTAAGTGAATGAACTAATCTTATAATAAAGAGCTTGTGTTCCATTAATAAGTGTAAATTCTACTTATCTACGATCCTGAATTATTTAAATCAAAATTTAATTTCAAGAATTTGTCTATTAGGTATTGAAGCGAGTACATAATTAATGTTATCCATCTCATCGTTCTTTTGTGTTGACTCTTCATCCTGTATGTTGTCTATGGTTTTTCTAACTGACTGACAAATCGAATATACATAGATTTTTCATGAAATGCCTATTGACTTAAATACAAAGCGCCCACTATTCAAACTTTCAATATATTCCCAGTCGGATGTGTCTGAAAGTGTCTACGTTCATCCATATGAAGGAAGATACAGCATAATGTTTGACAGAATCAAGAATCAAGTCAAAAAGGAAGAGCCAATCAAAATGAATACGAGGATAGCAACACGTTAATTGTTAACAATGACATATCAAGATCAAGGTCAACAACACAAGCACTTTGTTCTATCTGTAAATGAATTCTAATATCTCACTTCCGCCTACAATTTGTATTGATAGTGTTATTTGACAAAACAATATAAGCTTCATCATAAAACTATTCAGCTCAGAGAACAAAACTTTCGCCAACGTAATATTTGATCTTATTCACTTAGATTATTGATGATATTTTTAGTGAATAAAAGCAAATTAACAATGATATTATCATAAAAACATGTCAATTTACTAAGAAACAAGAAGTAAATTGTTTTTCAACTGCTTACCAATGTCCGTATGTTGACTAAATGATGTCCATAAAATAATTTGACAATTTTTTTCATTGAATATATTTCTACTGAAAACGTGATTACAGTAGTCATTCAATAAATAGGTAATATTTTCTTTTGCTTTAAAACTATGAAATTGATCTACATTGATGAAAATTATTTTATCTATAAGAATAAATTAGAACAAATACTGATCAGTAATTAGAATGATTTATTCTGAATTAACTTGAAAGGTGTGCAAATTTATGAATAAGATAATGAATGTACCATTTTGTACAGAATGAAAATATATATCGGGTGTACTTCCAGGCAACTTACACAACGAATGAGTGAACATCTCCCAGCATGGTTTACGAAGGGTCAGTCAAAAACGTAATGTTTTTGATGTTTTTGATGATTATTTAAATTCTATTCACCCACCTTTGACCTACTTTTTATTTTATAAATTTTCCTACTACTATCGGTTCACCTATCTTCCTACCATACACTTGTACTTTTGCCTTTTTCATTTCATCGTGATTGTGATTCAAATTACCTTTATTGGTTTAATATTTTCATATAAACATTTGTGTTTATTAGAATAAAGCTTGATGACGATCTAACTGAAAACAATGTTGTTCGCTTATATGTGTTGTTCTAATTT